ATAGATAGATAGATAGATAGATAGATAGATAGATAGATAGATAGATAGATAGATAGACAGACAGACAGACAATGGATGGATTCATGTTGGGATAGGTGAGTGGCTGGCTGGATAGACAGATAGATGAATGAATGCATGTTTGAACTGATGGTAGTCCTCCAATAGATTATGGGTTTACCTCCCCTAAGAGAGTCACAGTATACATTGGCACATCAGAGATCCCAGCGCACCTCATACACAAACTTCTGATAACCGTCTATCTGTGAACATTGCCAACTCGGTTTTGTTTCTCTACCAACAGCTGCCAACACTCAGGAAGGCAATTGTTGCAGAAAAGTAAATGCCTATAATTATTCCAGTGGTTATTATTAACCTGCTACCATACCAGTAGAAGACACAGACACCTGTTGTAGTTAAGCCTTGTTTCACCCGGGGCTGGACAGATATTACCCCCTAAGCCACCTTGTTACCTCTCAGCCCCACATCCCACGCTGTTTGCTTTAATCATTGCCATCTGGGCCGCTTCTCTCCATGCCGATCTTCAGAGGTTCCCTCCCGGCCCTCGCGGTTCTTTACCATGCCATGGTGATTCTGCAGCTCTCTTCCCAACCTGGCTCTCCATCTCTCCCGTGATCCCTTTCTCCTCCAAGCCTGTGAAACTTGGCCACACCTAAACCTCATTTCTGTCCTGCCCAGGTATGTAGGCATCTATTCTGCCAATCAGGGATAATTTGGAGGCAAGGATTACAAATGTCATTTTGGAGTACATGAGTGTCTGCTCTCGAAAGACAGCAAGCAGACCTCAGGGGCAAAATAATTAACAATCAAAAGCAGAGCACCAGACCATGCCCTTGCAGGCAACGCTGCTGGGAAAGGCTCTCCTTGCATTCTCCAAGGCCACACACAGCATATGCTGTATACCAAGCCTCGCTCGAGGCCCAGGATGCAATTGGGATCAAGGTGAGCAGAGTGTATAAGGGACACAGCCCACCCGGGGGACATGTCTCAAGTTCCCTGGGCACCTTGCACTGTTCTTCATAAAGCACAGGAGGGTCCGTGCCGGCAGACCAGTCATGGAGGCTGACTCATCTCGCCTCCTGCCAGTTGTATTGTATCAGGGCAGAGAACAGCCATCACATCCACCCCCATTGTCAACCAAAATCTGTCGTAGCTTCTCTGTTCAGAAAGGACTCGGAGGGAAGGTGACAGAATACTGCTCTTATGTAATCCAAATTCATTCTTTGTGACTGGGGACCCTTAGTGTACCTTCGAACCAAACAGTTGTGGTTGGTTTTTAATGCGTGGCTGTGGCTCTCAAGGGCTCTGCTTCTCCCAGAAGGCCCTTGGAGGAGGGCTCAGGACCGACACATGCTGGCCTAAGAGGGTGGGGAGAAAAGGAATTTTCGTGATCTGCCACTAATCCCTGTTTGTCTCTTACCCAAATCTCGGATTTTTCTCTTCCCGCCTCAGGTATCCTGGGTATGTGGTTTGGCCACAATTAAAACAGGCTGTGGGTTGCTTCCCTTTCCAGAAAGTTCTCCTCTTAAGCAGCTGCAGATTACATGCTCCGGCTCTGCCTGCTGGAGGAAGCCTATGGATTTGATTTTGTTAGCAAAAGCTGGCTGGGACTCCAGAAGCCATGCTTTGCTTTACATATTGAAGCCAGTAAAACGGCAGAGTTTCATTTGTGGGGGTCTGATGCCTGCCTGCACTCTAGCCTCAGAAACCCTATGCTCCCTCTTCCAAGAGCCTGAGTGTGGAGAAGGGTCTGCCAGGGTCCCCGAAGCCAGTTCCAGCACCACCTGCTCTGTGAGTGTGGGCTGACCATGTCCCTGCTCCCAAGCCTTAATTTACACTCTTGGGGGAAAAAAATGCCATAAGAGAAATTTTGTGAGACAGGTGAACAATAACGGGTGAAAAGAAAATAGAAACTGCATTGCTACTCTTCTTGGGGTGTCTGGCCACATCCCTGATATCTCTGAAAAGCACCAACCATCTATTTCTGTTGTGGTTTTTTGGGATGGGGGTCTCACTATGTTACACAGGCTGGCCTCAAACTCCTGGGCTCAAGAGAGCCTCCTAGCTGGGACTACAGGTGAAGGTCACACGCCTGACTCCCAACTGCTACCGCCTCTCTGTCTCTGTCTGGCTCCCTCTTGCATAATGCACTCCTTATTGTCAACCACCATCAAGAATGATAGAGTGGGGGTGGGGGAAGGTTCTAAAGCCACAAAGCATTTCCAGAGAGATGCAGACATCAGGCCTTCCTCTCAGATGCTCAGGGACAGCCAGGCAATCCAGGTGCCCCTTAAACATGCATGCTGCCCTCCAGTGGCAGGAACACAGGTTCAGTTCCAAGGCACCCAGCGGCCTCTCTGCACCACTAGACACTAGTGTTTTCACCAGCTGAACCTGTCCCCATCCAGGACCATCACAAAGATCTGAGTGGGATACCTGTAAAATGCAGGATTTCTGTGCCCACTAACAGCTGGGGGATTTTTGAGGGAAGGTCTGGCCTTCCTGACCCCTGCCAAGTTCATGGGCAGGGAGGAGCTATTGGATTTAGGAAACTATTGTGTTCCAAAGAGCCTGGTCCAACCACTGGGCCTGGAATGCTATTCCAATTGGAATAGTTCTCCCATTAAAAGGTCCCTTATGCCTGCATTTAACCTTTTGTTTCCGAGGTGACTGGAGTGTTGCTATTTTGTTACATTCAGTTTAGTTTGGTTTGGGGGATAGAGTCTCATTTAGTGCAGGCTGGCCTCACACTTGGGCTGTGTTCGACTGGCCACCTGATCCTTCAGCCTCAACCTCCCAAGTGCTGGGATCACAGGCATGGACCATCACACCCATATGTGGTACTGTGATGAAATCTGGGTCTTTGGGCATGCTAAGCAAGCATTCTACCAGCTGAGTTAGACCCTCGACTTTACTTTAGTTCCTATTCAGTTAAACTCTGAAACACTGAAAAGCATTCAAGAGGATATAATGCAATTTGTGCAGAAACTGGGATGCAGTCCTGAAAGCCCAAGTCCTGTCCCCGAGTGACAGGAGCTTCCTCTGACCTTGCTTGATGCAGCCACTGCCTGCAGTAATGACGAGGACCAGCCTGACCCACACTTGGTGAGCGATGATGGCCAAAGCCCTTCATGCTGTAGTAATTGAGTGCCAGCAGGAACCGCTCTAACAAGCCTCTGTGTAATAAAAATGGCCCCAGCTTGGTGTGTGTGTCTGGGGGTGGGGTTATTAATGGCTCCTTGACAACCCCTTTCCTTCTAATTTCCTTTGGTCATTGCAAGAATTTTCAGAATTGCTCCCAAGGACAGAAAGAACTTTAGGAAAAACAAATTCACTGAAAACACTTAAGCTTCCCAAGAAGATTGAAATATCTAAAGGCTTCCTGGCTGCCAGCCCTGGCTAGGAACTACTAGCCCAAAGTTAGGATTCCTACCACGTGCATCACAGAACCCAGAAAGCAAAGAGGGAATATGAGAGGTTGGCTGAGGCTGATGGACCTTGGGAAGGTCTCCTTGCTGTGCTGGCATGCTCATCCCTCAGGCTTCAGAGGTAGTGCTGAAGACAGTGACCCACATGGGTCACACACTGGCTGTGCAGAAGAGATACTGAGCCCCCCTTGAGGCCATGTCCTGGGCCAGAGTGGGTCCTCGATGCCTCAGCTTTCATCTGTGGCCCGCACGTGGCTGACGGTTGTTTATCTGAAGGAGAAATAGAGCTGGGCCCTCACCAATAAAACAGCCTGGGAACTGGGGCCCTGCGTGGGCTCTTCAACCTCCAGCTAGAAGGGTGTGGGTGAGAGGGTTTCCAAAATTAGTGGCTTAGTCCTGACACATTTGTATCATCTGCTGAACTCTGAAAAACAACAGATGATGGAGCTCCACCCTAAGCCAGTTGAATCTGAATTTCTGAGGGCTGATGTGCTATGTGTCCCCCAAGCTTCCAGGGTGACTTTATCCTGCAGCTCTGGTCTGAAATCAGAAGCCTCTGGTTGCCGCATCCTCAGAAATGAAATCAGATGGAGATGGAGAAAGACAGGGTTCTCATTGCATTTGGATTTTGTTTTTGTTTTTTTGAGGGGTGGCTTTTGGAGACATGGTTTCTCTGTGTAGCCCTGGCTGTCCTAGAACTTGCAATTTAGACCAGGCTGGCCTCAAACTCAGAGACCCACCTTTCTCTGCCAACCAAGTTCTGGGATTATAGCTGTGTGCCACCACTGCCTGGATGCATTTGGGCATTTTATTTGAACTTTTTTAAATGTAGTGGGAGCAGGGCCAGGGAGATGGATCTTGCTGGCTAAAATGCTTGCCACGTAACTAGAATTTTGGTTTCCAGAACCCACAAAGATTCTGAGTAGGCATGGCACTCTATCTGTAATTCCAGCCTCAAGGTGGAGATGGGAACCCTAAGCAAGCTAGCTAGTGAGACTAGGCTCATTAAGCAAGCTCTAGGTTTGATTGAGAGACCCTGCACCAGTCAATAAGGTGCGAGAGTGATCAAGGATGAGTCCTGACATCAACCACACACACACACACACACACACACACACACACACACACACACACACGCGTAGGCAGCTGCCCATGAATACACTATACAGTATGTAGCCTTTGGAAAATACTTGTTGTAATGTTTAGCTGGAATATCACAAGCGGTGCCTTCCTCCTCTGGGGCTCACCTTCCTGGTTTTATACCAGAGCAGATACATTGGCAAGAGGAAGGCTCAACGCATGACTAACCCCAGTCATTCAACTTTGTTCTGCTTTGTTCCGCTGTGCTGGGGATGGATATTTCACATGCTAGGCTAAGCTGAGGCACTACAATGGAGCCGGCCCCTAACCCCCAACCCCCAAACCCAGTCTCTTTTAGGATGTTGTTTGAGGTGAGCTCAAACAAGGCGCATTTCTCAGCCAGGGCCCTCGCTCTCTGCTGATAGTTAAGCCCGGCTAGGAAGGGATCTTGGAGGCCCAGCTGCAGCTTTTCCTAGAAAGCTCCAAATGAACATCTGTGGAGTGCCAGCCACGTGAGTGTGCAGCCACTTTAAGCTAAACCAGTGCAGAGGCTCCGTGGAGAAAAGCATTATCTGTGCTTTTTGTTCAGTGCTGACCATGCCTCTCTCCAGCCTAAATCCTCAGTGGCTCTTAGTGGTCACAACATTCATCCAGAACTGTCTAGACCCTTCCCTCTTGCTCCACTCATCCCACTCATGCCCTGCTTAGTCTTGCTGTTGCAATCCCCTGCTTCTCACTGAAGCTGATGACACACTGTGGTCAGGACCACTGGCAGTCAAGCCCAGCAGCCAGATCAGCACCTCCATGAGAACACAACCTGCACGAGGCACCCAGAGAAATGAATCAGCTGTCTTCATGTCCTGCCTCTTATAGAAGAGGCACATTTAGGGGATGTGGAGATGGCTTAGCTTATGGAATGCTTGTCAAGCAAGCATGAGGAGCCGAGTTCAATCCCCAGAACCCACATTTAATAAGAAACCTTGGATACAGTTGGGGTGTATTTATGATCCCAATACTGGAGACAGATAGATCCCTGGAGCTTATTGGCCATCAAGTTGACAATCTCCAGGCCAGTTAGAGAGCCTGTCTCAAAAATCAAGTGGGTGGCATCTTTCAAAAATGAGATTTGAGGTGGAACACTGGTCTCAATGTGCTCATGAACATGACACAAGGTATGTATAGCCACGTGTACATATAAATACATAATCACAAAAAAAGGAAAGAAAAAGCAAGGGCCTAGTGTTCACAGGCTGCTCTTGCCTGGAAATGGCTTACAAAAGCCACCTGTGGCTGCAAGGACGGAAGCCTGCTCTAAGAATGCTCAGACCATTCCCATAGGGGACTGTGATGGTCGAAAGACCATAATAGCATTCGCTTCTTCCAAGTGGGAGGGATGCTTGCCCAGGTTCTCGGTTAGTGTGGGGCAGATGAAGCCAGCCAACACGGAGCCTTTGGTGGTCATGCGAGGCTTTGATGCTGTGCCAGGCCACCAGGGCCCAGGCCCGGAGCCACCTTCACTGCTGGTGCTGAGTCCTGAATACAGATTATTTACCTTGTGTCTCCCTCTGTCCCTCTCTCCCTCCTTCCATCCCTCCCTGCCCCTCTCTTCCTCTTCCTGAGGCAGGTTCTCACTACATAGCTATACAGCTAAGGCTGTCCTAGAACTTACTGTGTTTTCCAGGCTGGCCTTGTTCACAGAGATCTGCCTACCTCTGCCTCTCAAGAGCTGGGATTAAAGTCGTGTGCCACCATACCTACCTACCTTGTGTTTCTCCTTTAGACAGTTTATAATGAATCCCTTTTCTCTCCAGCTATACCTCAGATAGCTATTCTCTGTAAAATTCTGGCTTGAATATGCCAGCAGACCTTTGTTTCTATTCTAAGATACATGAAAATATACCTAAAACTACACATTAAAAGAAAGGGCTTTTCTTTAGCCCCCTTCAGGGTAATTCCATCTTAAAGTTTCCTAGTTGCCATCAGAAGTCCAAACAACATAGCTGGAAGAAAGGGAGCAGAAGAAAAGACAAGCATGTTCATCTGTCAAATCTGTCAGGGTCAGTCCTTATATACCTTCAGCCCAGAAGTGTGGCTCCTGTTTTCAGCCAGGAGCAAAGGCCCAGAGAGTTTAGGAAGTAATCATGCATAGGATGAGCAGAGAGCTCTGGGTTGTGGCACAGAGGAAGAAGGTTTGCCTTGGTGCATGAAGCCCTGGATTCTCTCTCCTACAGAGCACTTATAGTGTAGAGGTGGGAAGATCAGGAGGTCAAGGTCATGAGATTGAGGCTGGACAGGGAGAGAAGACCTGTCAAGAAGAGGAGGCAGAGCAGGTGGCCAGGGCCAACAAGATGGCTTAGTGGTAAAGGCAGTTGCTGACAAGCCTGACAAGCTAAGGTTCATCCCTGGTGCTTATATGGGGGAAGGAAAAAGCCAAATCTCCCAAATAAAATGTAAAAAAAAAAAAAAAAAAAAAAAAAAAAAAAGTTTAAAAGAGAAAGTGGAGCTGGGATTCGAACACAGCAGCAGCTTGCCGTTCATGACCCTTCTCTCTCACCCCTGCCTTTTCTCCCCACAGTCTACGCTGGGCTTCGTTGCCCTGATGCTGAGCACGATGCACACGCTCACCTACGGCTGGACTCGGGCCTTGGAGGAAAGCCACTACAAGTTCTACCTGCCGCCCACATTCACGCTCACCCTGTTCCTGCCCTGTGTGATCATCCTGGCCAAGGGCCTCTTCCTCCTGCCCTGCCTCAGCCGCAGACTCGCCAGGATCCGCAGGGGCTGGGAGAGAGACACTGCTGTCAAGTTCACCCTGCCCTCCGACCACTCACAGGCAGAGAAGACGAGCCACGTGTGAGGCCCTGGAAATGGAAACAGGCATAGCTTGTGGGGCCCTGAGCTGGGTTCAGGTCTCTTTTCTGGACTCTGCACAATGGCGTGATGATATATGCATGGGTGGTTGAGATCCGAATATGCCGTGATATTCAGAATGACACACCACACGTGTGATATGTATTCACATATATTTCATATATAATAGGATTTGCTGTTATTCTTACCTAGCTAAGAAGGTGGGTCCCTCTATTTCAACGCAGGCATTTCAAAGGAACTGCCACACACGAAACAGCAGACCCCAGCCTTGTGACATTTGCAGAGGCAGACAGTCTCAGTATAGGAGAGACTATATTTTGTTGGGTTCTACCCTTTAATCCCCATTCTCTATGCTGGAGTTGGTGCAGAGCTGGGCCAAGTGCAGGCCAGGTGCAGCCTACCCCCATCCCAGGGCTGAGAAGGGGCCCCGAGTAAACAGTGGGGCCAGGTCTGGACCCCGCTGCTGCTTCCCTGGGCATGTACAGGGAGCCTTAGCAGGATGTCCTGGGATCTGCAGGAGCTTTTGCAGTCTATCCTTTCCCTGGGGAAGGGTTTGAAGCCCCATTCCATCCTAGCTGAGCTGAGGAGATTGTCCCTCCTTTAGAATTCCTGCTAGAGTCACCAAGGAGCCTGCAAATTGATCCTTCTGCGAAGGTGTGAAGTCACCTCCTCCCCAGAGCCATTAATGAACCTGATCTTCAGAAAGAGTGTAATTGTTTTCCCTCCATTAGGTTGATGGTGACCCTCCTTTAAACCACTGTGCCTTCTCGCCTTTCCCACCATTAACATGGGCATCTCCCTGGAAGGCTTGTCAGAGCAGCTCAAGGGGGAGGGACGCATCAGAGCTTGCAGAGAATGAACAGCAAGCCCTCCCCTTGGGTGTGGCCCAAGCCTGGGGGACTTGCCTTTGCTAAACTGGCCCCCTTTGGATTTACCCTGTTGCCTGTGTGCAGAGAGCCTACCTTCTGGGCACCCAGAAACCATCTTTGCCTCATGCTCATCCTCAGGGGGTCCACAGCCTCCCACCCATGCTTTTTCCTCCCTCCCTCCCTAGCAGTTACAATCAACCGCAGAAGTCTGCAAATATTGTTATCTTTTTTAATTCTTAAAGAGACCACAACCTTGTTTTATTACAATACTTATATTGTCCTTTGTTGTTATTATTCTTATTAGTCTTCCTGTGCCTGGTTTATTAATTAGACCTAATTATGGTTGTGTATAGGGCAAATATAGCATGAGTGTGTGTGTGTGTGTGTGTGTGTGTGTGTGTGTGTGTGTGCATGAGTTCATATGTGGGGGGTATACACACATGTATTTCAATCACCTGCAGTTTCAGGAGTCCTAAATAGATGTCTGTATTCTAATTCAGAACAAATGGGAAGGGCTTTTCTGCCAAAGCTACAAGTGTCAAACTTTATTGCTCCAAAGCACAGGCCAGACCATAGCCAGGGCATAGGTCATCTATCTTCCCAATGCTGTGACATCCATCTGTGAGGAAATAGCTACCCATCCAGTCCCCCAAGTTCTGCACAGCTTGACTGATCTACTGCCATTACATAACAGAGGTTCTATTGGCTCCCCTGGGCTAGGAAGCATCTTTTGATGCAGGAAAGGATGAAGGCCCAGCCAATATACACAAGAAGAGATGTCCCTCTTCCCACCAGAGTCCTTAAGTGAAAAGAGGACAGCCCAGCACAAGAACCTCTCAATAGGCCTGTGATGGGCGGAGACCTACTGCCTTCTCCATCTCTCTCTAGAGGGGGGTGGTTCTTGGTAGCAGAGTTACCCACAGGGGAAACAGTGCATTCTTCTTCCTTTGCTTGCCCTATTTCTGCCACAGCTGCTTACCAGATGGGCAGTGAGTATGTGTCAGTCAGCACACGGCAGCAGGTTGCATCTGTCCCTGCCGCTGCCCATGTCCCCAGGCAGTCAGCAGCGTCCAGGAGGCCAGTCACTCCCTGGTGAGCCTTTGTGCATTGGGTCCCAGAGTACCCCAGGCCAGTGCTCTAGCCTGGGGTGGACGTGCAAAGTCTATGGTGGACACAGTCTCCCTATCTCATCTTACGGAGCTCTCCCAGAAGCCGGGACGGTACACAGGCACTGTGTGAACTCCCGGCTTTCCTTCCTGGAAATAGGATCACATGGGCATCGGTGCCATATGTTAGATGGAGAGGTTGCCCAGGTGAACATTAATCTACCAGAGGTGGCCACTGAGGAATGGCAGGTGCGCAGAGGAGTGATAGGCCAGTGATGGAGCAGGCAAGGTCCTGACGACCGACCAGTCTGGGCTGTGAAAAGACAGCACCTGAGGAATGACAGTCAAGGTTGTCCTCTAGCGTGTACACACATACGAAGTGTAAAAGGCGTGTTTCTTTTCCTCACAGATTTCGATAATTTCAGATAGTTTCTCTCAGCTGAGTTAGCTCTCTTTAGTTGCTCAGAAATGCTTCTGCTTCACAGTCAAGTGGAAACTTAGATGCGCTGGGTACTCCAGCCTCCCATGGGATGCCCCGGACATCCCCACTCTCCACTCGGTCACGCTGGCCATGTGAACCCTCCCTCCCCTCCATGAGGTGAATCATGAGACCGTGTTTTCCAAGTGCTGGTTCGTTTATTGGATTAGAAACCTGACTTGTTTATGTAAGTTTCCGTTGTAGGCCAAGCCTGGTTTTCAAAACACTAAGTCAATTATGAAAAATTTCCACACCCATCAGGCTTCTGCTTCCAGAGGATCTATCCTGCTACATCAGTCTCTAGACTAAAAATATACTTTCTTCAGTCGTTTTTCATACTTGTTTAATTTTTTATTACATTATATGTGTGTATTGTGGTGTGGTGTGTGTGCAACTCAGGAGGACAATTTGAAAGAGGCAGTTTTCTGCCTTCCATGAAGGCTCTAGGCATAGAACTCAGGTCTGAGAAGCAAGCACCTTTACTCACTGAGCCATCTCGCTGGCCTTGTAAACATTCTTTTTAAGGCTCCTGGCTCAGGAAGCCAGGCAATTTGTGAGGCTGAAAATAAATGGGACATACACACGAGCAAAGGGCTGCCCGGCTACTAGCTGCTTCCTGGTGAAAAACAGCTTTGTTCTCACCAGCTCAGCAGGAGCTCAGCAACTACCATCAACAAACACAGGTGAGACAGCACAGGAGCCCCCCCCCCCCCCCAACACACACACCAAGGACTTCAAAGAGCAGAGCTGGTGTCTTCTGAACATGACAGAACCATCGCACTCCTGAAACTACAGCAGCTATGGCTGCCTGAACGAGATGGAGCCTCCCAATCTGCCAGCAGAGTGTACCTCACTTCCAGCTGATGGCTTCTGGAGTAGGGTGAGTCCGTTTTCTGTAAGGGTATCTTACCCCTGATAAGCTGATCATGTTCCCGTGGCTGGCCCAGACCCATGAATATACGGGCTGCACAAAGTGAACTCAGTGGGTTATTAAAAAACAATCTACCAAACAAATCATGAAGTTGGTAGGAAGTAGGAGATGATCAGGAGACATTGGGGGAACCATTGGAGGTAAATATTATCAAAATTCACTGTGCGCACATATGAAATTCTCAAGATATTGATTAAAATATTGTTTTTTAAGAGATGCTAGAGAGATGACTTTTCAGTTAAAAGCACTTGATGCTCTTTCTGAAGACTGGGACTCAGTTTCCAGCATCTATAGGATGGCTCACAACCCTCTGTAATTCCAGTCCCAGGGGCTTTAGCACCTGCTTCTGGCCTCTGCATGTACCAGGTATGCATGTGGCACACAAACATACACACAGGTGGAACACCCATACACATAAAATTAAATGGTAATAACTTATTTCAAAAGAAAAAGCAATTAAAACTGAAGAGACCAATGGCCCCGGGGCAGGAGAGATGGCTCAGGTGAAGAGCACTTGCTTCTCTTGCAGAGGACAGGATTTCAGTTCCCGGTATCCACATCAGGGGGTTTGCAAGCGCCTGTAATTCCAGCTCCCAGCAATCCTATAGGTAGCCTCAGCAGGCACCCACACACGCGTGGTATACACACAGCCTTACACAGACGGACAGACAGACTTTACAAACAGAAGTCTATGAAGGGGGGAGAGGGACCGCGGTTAATAGCACTCGTTGCTATAGGCCCCAGTTTGATTCCCAGTAGCCACATGATGGCTTACAAACCTCTGTAACCCTCATTCTACGAGATCCAACAGGTATGCGTGACATGCACATACATGCACACAGGCAAATATTCATACACCTAAAGTAAATTTTAATCCTAAGAAAGAAAAGGGGACTCACATACCACCAATTACTGGAGTTGCACAAGGAAAGAATTGTGGAAAGACAGATTGTGGAGAGGTGAAAACCAAGATTTTTCTAAAGCCAGTAAGAGTGGGGTCTAACTGAAGAAGAAAGTACAGTGTTCACAACTTAAAAGTGAGCCACGTTCAGACCCAGCAAGCAGCTCTGAAAAGCAGCCAGGAAAGATCACCTACAGTTGAGGGATGATAAGAGATTTCTTAGCATGTCAGTAGGAATCAGAATAGTGCTACATCTCCTAAAAGACAGAGAAGACATGATTATCTTTATTTTATTTATTTACTTGTGTACTTATTGACTATGTTTTGAGACAGGATTTTATTATGTAGTCTTGGCCAGCCTGTAACTATGTAGACCAGGCTGGCCTTGAACTAACAGCAACAAACCTGCCTCTGCCTCACAACGGTTGGGTTTAAAAGTGCACTCACCACAGCTGGCTCATTAGGGCTTTGAGGCCTTGGGTTTGGTCCCCAGAACCACATAAAGCAGACATGGCAGTGAAAACCTTCAGTCCATGGGAAGAGAATTAGAGGTTCCAATCATTGTTGGCTATACAGCAAGTCCGAGACCAACCTGGGATGCCTGCAATCTTGTCAAAAGGAAATGGGGTTTGGGAGGAACGACAAAAAGAAAGAAGAAGAAGAAGAAGAAGAAGAAGAAGAAGAAGAAGAAGAAGAA